TGCCCTATATGACATCATAACAACAGTCTGGACCACTGGACGGGTTCCGCAGGATTGGAAGGATGCCCTGGTGGTCCCCCTTTTTAAGAAGTGGGACCGCACAGACTTTAACAACTACAGGGGCATCTCACTCCTCAGTGTGCCGGGAAAGGTCCTGGCAAGGATTATTCAGCATCGCCTTGCCAGGCACGCTGAGGAGAGGCTTGCGGAGCCCCAATGCGGTTTCAGGAAAGGGCGGTCTTGCACAGATGCCATATTTTCTGTCCGTCTGCTACAGCAGAGGTGTAGGGAATTCCAGCAAGATCTACATCTCTGCTTTATTGACCTGGTCAAGGCCTATGATACCATCAATAGGCATGGGCTCTGGGTTGTTCTTCGTGCTTTTGGAGTACCTGACCCTCTGCTCACGATCATTAAGGACCTTCATGATGGTGAGCGGGCCAGGGTAAAACTACGTGGCCGGGAGTCCGAGCCTTTTCCTGTACACCTTGGGGTGCGACAGGGATGTCCTCTGGCTCCCACATTATTTAACATCTATTTTGACCACGTAATTCGTGAAGCCTTCAATAGCTGTACCGGGGGAATCTCCATATGGTACAGATATAATGGGAGGCTGATCGATGCCCGGGTGCGGTCAAAGGATGGCTCCCTATTGCTCAACCACGTTATGTATGCTGATGATTTGGTAATAGCTGCTCATTCAGAGGAGGAGTTGGAGACGCTGCTGCTGAGACTGGAGCGTGCCACTAAGGGATGGGGCCTTACCATCAGCCCCACCAAAACTAAGCACCTGCCTGGGTATTTTGTACCATCGGATACTCAACCCACACACCTCCGAATCGGTGATGGGGCAGTTGTGGAGAGAGTGGAGAGTTTCCCATACCTGGGAAGTGTACTTATGACCGGCTCCAAGTTTAACAGCAGAGGTCTCACTCCGAATCATTCGAGCGGCAATATCTTTTCATCGGTTGCGTAACGCTGTGTGGAAGCTACCTGGTCTGTCGCTCCGCACTAAGCTTCAGGTCTTCTCGGCCACGGTCATTCCCTCCCTTCTCTACGCTTGCGAAAGGTGGACCCCCCTAATGGAACATCTTCGCCGGTTCGAAACATTTAGGCTGGCCTGCCTACGATCCATCCTGGGTTTAACCAGACTGGATTGTGTGAGGAGCTCAAAAATCCTTGAAAGAACTGGGCAAGGTCCCATCGGTAAGCTCCTCCGGCGGGCAAGGCTGCGATGGCTGGGTCATGTAGCCGGCATGTCCAGCCACCGCATGCCGAAACAGCTTTTGTTCGGCCGGATCGAGGGGGCTAAGCGGGCGCGGCACGGGCTAGAGAAGAGATGGAGTGATGTGGTACAGGAGGACGTGGAGCTGAGTGGACTTGCCGATGACTGGTACCAGCGGTACCAAGATCGGCCTCTGTGGAGGAGGCTCGTGAAGGACGCTACTGGGCAGTTGGAGCGACGCTCAGAACAACGAGCGGAGCGCCGGGTGGCTAAAGCACAGCAGATTGGCACAGTAGGGAGCACAGGTGGTGCATCAGCCAGTCATCTCAGTCAGTCGACCCGTGGCACCTGGGTCTGCCCCGTGACCTCCTGCCAGCGGGCGTATAGCCTGGCACAAGCGTCGTGGTGACGTCACCGCCACTTAGTGGCGAATGGCGGTTGTTGTTGTAAGGGAGTGTGTGTATAATTGTGTGTGGGTGTGTATGTGTTAGTAAGGGAGTGTGTGTATATGAGTGTGTGGGTGTGTATGTATGAGTAAGGGAGTGTGTGTAAAAGTGTGTGTGGGTGTGTATGTGTTAGTAAGGGAGTGTGTGTATAAGTGTGTGTGGGTGTGTATGTCTTAGTAAGGGAGTGTGTGTATAAGTGTGTGTGGGTGTGTTTGTGTTAGTAAGGGTTTGTGTGTATAAGTGTGTGTAGGTGTGTATGTCTTAGTAAGGGTGTGTGTATACGTGTGTGTGTGTGTCAGTAAGGGAGTGTGTGTGTATGAGTGTGTGTAGGTGTGTGTATGTATGTGTTAGTAAGGGAGTGTGTGTATAAGTGTGTGTGGGTGTGTTTGTGTTAGTAAGGGAGTGTGTGTATAAGTGTGTGTGGGTGTGTATGTGTTAGTAAGGGTTTGTGTGTATAAGTGTGTGTAGGTGTGTATGTCTTAGTAAGGGTGTGTGTATAAGTGTGTGTGTGTGTGTCAGTAAGGGAGTGTGTGTATAAGTGTGTGTATGTGTCAGTAAGGGAGTGTGTGTATAAGTGTGTGTGGGTGTGTATGTGTTAGTAAGGGTGTGTGTATTAGTGTGTGTTGGGTGTGTTTGTGTTAGTAAGGGTTTGTGTGTATAAGTGTGTGTAGGTGAGTATGTGTTAGTAAGGGTGTCTGTATAAGTGTGTGTATGTGTTAGTAAGGGAGTGTGTGTATAAGTGTGTATGTGTTAGTAAGAGTGTGTGTATAAGGGTGTGTAGGTGTGTTTGTGTTAGTAAGCGTGTGTGTATAAGTGTGTGTATGTGTCAGTAAGGGAGTGTGTATAAGTGTGTGTATAAGTGTGTGTATAAGTGTGTGTATAAGTGTGTGTAAGCGTGTTTGTGTTAGTAAGGGTGTGTGTGTATAAGTATCTGTTATTGTGTATGTGTTAGTAAGGGAGTGTTTGTATAAGTGTGTGTGTATCTGTTAGTAAGGGAGTGTGTGTATAAGTGTGTGTAGGTGAGTATGTGTCAGTAAGGGAGTGTGTATATAAGTGTGTGTGGGTGTGTATGTGTTAGTAAGGGAGTGTTTGTATAAGTGTGTGTATAAGTGTCAGTAAGGGAGTGTGTGTGTATAAGTGTGTGTATAAGTGTGTGTAGGTGAGTATGTGTTAGTAAGGGAGTGTGTGTATAAGTGTGAGTATGTGTTAGTAAGGGAGTGTGTGTATAAGTGTGTATAAGTGTCAGTAAGGGAGTGTGTGTATAAGTGTGTGTATAAGTGTGTGCATGTGTGTGTAGGTGTGTGTAGGTGTGTGTATAAGTGTGTGTATAAGGGGGTGTGTATAAGTGTGTAGGTGTGTATGTCTTAGTAAGGGTGTGTGTATAAGTGTGTGTATAAGTGTGTGTATAAGTGTGTATAAGTGTGTGTATAAGTGTGTGTGTAAGTGTGTGTATAAGTGTGTGTATAAGTGTGTGTGTAGGTGTGTATGTGTTAGTAAGGGTGTGTGTATAAGTGTGTGTATGTCTTAGCAAGGGTGTGTGTATAAGTGTGTGTTTAAGTGTGTGTAAGTGTGTATGTGTTAGTAAGGGAGTGTGTGTATAAGTGTGTGTGGGTGTGTTTGTGTTAGTAAGGGAGTGTGTGTATAAGTGTGTGTGGGTGTGTATGTGTCAGTAAGGGTTTGTGTGTTTAAGTGTGTGTAGGTGTGTATGTCTTAGTAAGGGTGTGTGTGTATAAGTGTGTGTGTGTGTCAGTAAAGGAGTGTGTGTGTATGAGTGTGTGTAGGTGTGTGTATGTATGTGTTAGTAAGGGAGTGTGTGTATAAGTGTGTGTGGGTGTGTATGTGTTAGTAAGGGTGTGTGTGTATTAGTGTGTGTTGGGTGTGTTTGTGTTAGTAAGGGTTTGTGTGTATAAGTGTGTGTAGGTGAGTATGTGTTAGTAAGGGTGTCTGTATAAGTGTGTGTATGTGTTAGTAAGGGAGTGTGTGTATAAGTGTGTATGTGTTAGTAAGGGAGTGTGTGTATAAGTGTGTGTAGGTGTGTTTGTGTTAGTAAGGGTGTGTGTATAAGTGTGTGTGTATGTGTCAGTAAGGGTGTGTGTTTAAGTGTGTGTATAAGTGTGTGTATAAGTGTGTGTATAAGTGTGTGTAGGCGTGTTTGTGTTAGTAAGGGTGTGTGTGTATAAGTGTCTGTTATTGTGTATGTGTTAGTAAGGGAGTGTGTGTATAAGTGTTTGTAGGCGAGTATGTGTCAGTAAGGGAGTGTGTGTATAAGTGTGTGTGGGTGTGTATGTGTTAGTAAGGGAGTGTGTATATAAGTGTTTGTAGATGTGTATGTGTTAGTAAGGGAGTGTGTGTAAGTGTGTGTATAAATGTCAGTAAGGGAGTGTGTGTATAAGTGTGTGTATAAGTCTGTGTATAAGTGTGTGTAGGTGAGTATGTGTTAGTAAGGGAGTGTGTGTATAAGTGTGTGTAGGTGTTAGTAAGGGAGTGTGTGTGTAAGTGTGTATAAATGTCAGTAAGGGAGTGTGTGTATAAGTGTGTGTATAAGTGTGTGTATAAGTGTGTGTAGATGAGTATGTGTTATTAAAGGAGTGTGTGTATAAGTGTGTGTAGGTGTTAGTAAGGGAGTGTGTGTATAAGTGTGTGTATAAGTGTGTGTAGGTGTTAGTAAGGGAGTGTGTGTATGAGTGTGTGTATAAGTGTGTGTAGGTGTTAGTAAGGGAGTGTGTGTATAAGTGTGTGTGTATAAGTGTGTATAAGTGTCAGTAAGGGAGTGTGTGTATAAGTGTGTGTATAAGTGTGTGTATAAGTGTGTGTAGGTTTGTGTAGGTGTGTATAAGTGCGTGTATAAGGGGGTGTGTATAAGTGTGTAGGTGTGTATGTCTTAGTAAGGGTGTGTGTATAAGTGTGTGTATAAGTATGTGTATAAGTGTGTGTATAAGTGTGTATAAGTGTGTGTGTATAAGTGTGTGTATAAGTGTGTGTGTAGGTTTGTATGTGTTAGTAAGGGTGTGTGTATAAGTGTGTGTATGTCTTAGTAAGGGTGTGTGTATAAGTGTGTGTGTAAGTATGTGTAGGTGTGTATGTGTCAGTAAGGGAGTGTGTAGGTGTGTATCTATCAGTAAGGGAGTGTGTAGGGGAGTATGTGTTAGTAAGGGAGTGTGTGTAGGTGAGTATGTCTTAGTAAGGGTGTGTGTATAAGTGTGTATAAGTGTGTGTATAAGTGTGAATATAAGTGTGTGTAGGTGAGTATGTGTTAGTAAGGGTGTGTGTATAAGTGTGTATCAGTGTGTGTATAAGTGTGTTTGTGTTAGTAAGGGTGTGTGCCTTACTTGCCGATCCCGGTTTGCTCATGGCTTCTATGGAAAGGGGGTGGACAAGGGGCGGGAGATAAACGTGTGGTTAGACTCACTCACTCACTCAGCCACACACTCACCTACCAGGTTAACCACTCACTCGCCCAGTCAGCCACTAACTCATGCAGTCAACCACTCAATCACTCACTCAGCCACTCAGACACCCAGTCAACCACTCACTCAGCCACGCACTCACCCAGTGAACCGTTCATTCAGCCACTCACTAAACCAGTCAACCGCTTACTCAGTCAGCCACTCACTCAGCCACCCAGTGAAACACTCAGCCACACAGCTACTCACTCATCCATACAATAAACAACTCAATAAACCACTCACTGACTCAACTACTCACTCACTCAATCATTCACTCACATACACTCACTCACTCCACTTTGTACGTCTGCTTATTGAATCGCTCAATTCATTACTTATGCACAAGATCTGCCACTCACTCAACCAATCAACCACTTATCCATTAAATCCATCAATAACTCAACCACTCAATCCATCAATAACTCAACTACTCAATCCATCAATAACTCGACGACTCAATTCATCAATAACTTGACCACTCACTCCATCAATAATTCGATAACTCAATCCATAAATAACTCAACATCATCAGTGGTGTAGTAACTACATTATCAGTGGTGTAGTAACTACATTATCAGTGGTGTAGTAACTACATTATCAGTGGTGTAGTGACTACGTTATCAGTGGTGTAATAACTACATTATCAGTAGTGTAGTGACTACATTATCAGTGGTGTAGTAACTACATTATCAGTGGCCTAGTAACTACATTATTACTGGTGTAGTAACTACATTATCAGTGGTGTAGTAACTACATTATCAGTAGCGTAGTAACTACATTATCAGTGGTGTAGTAACTACATTATCAGTGGTGTAGTAACTCATTATCAGTGGTGTAGTAACTACATTATCAGTGGTGTAGTAACTACATTATCAGTAGCGTAGTAACTACATTATCAGTGACGTAATAACTCCATTATAAGTGGTGTAGTAACTACATTATCAGTGGTGTAGTAACTACATTATCAGTGGTGTAGTAACTACATTAACAGTGGTGTAATAACTACATTATCAGTGGTGTAGTGACTACATTATCAGTGGTGTAGTAACGACATTATCAGTGGCGTAGTAACTACAATATCAGTGACGTAGTAACTGCATTATCAGTGGTGTAGTGACTACATTATCAGTGGTGTAGTAACTACATTATCAGTGACGTAGTAACTGCATTATCAGTGGTGTAGTGACTACATTATCAGTGGTGTAGTGACTACATTATCAGTGGCGTAGTAACTACACTATATCAGTGGCGTAGTAACTACATTATCAGTGGTGTAGTGACTACATTATCAGTGGCATAGTAACTACATTACCAGTGGTGTAGTGACTGCATTATCAGTGGTGTAGTAACTACATCATCAGTGGCGTAGTAACTACATTATCAGGGGTGTAGTGGCTACATTATCAGTGGTGTAGTAACTACATTATCAGTGGTGTAGTAACTACATTATCAGTGGCGTAGTAACTACATTATCAGTGGTGTAGTGACTACATTATCAGTGGTGTAGTAACTACATTATCAGTGACGTAGTAACTACATTATCAGTGGTGTAGTAACTACATTATCAGTGACGTAGTAACTACATTATCAGTGGTGTAGTAACTACATTATCAGTGGTGTAATAACTACATCATCAGTGGTGTAGTAACTACATCATCAGTGGCGTAGTAACTACATTATCAGTGACGTAGTAACTACATTATCAGTGGCGTAGTGACTACATTATCAGTGGTGTAGTAACTACATTATCAGTAGTGTAGTGACTACATTATCAGTGGTGTAGTAACTACATTATCAGTGGCGTAGTAACTACATTATCAGTGGTGTAGTAACTACATTATCAGTGGCGTAGTAACTACATTATCAGTGGTGTAGTGACTACATTATCAGTGGTGTAGTAACTACATTATCAGTGACGTAGTAACTACATTATCAGTGGTGTAGTAACTACATTATCAGTGACGTAGTAACTACATTATCAGTGGTGTAGTAACTACATTATCAGTGGTGTAATAACTACATCATCAGTGGTGTAGTAACTACATCATCAGTGGCGTAGTAACTACATTATCAGTGACGTAGTAACTACATTATCAGTGGCGTAGTGACTACATTATCAGTGGTGTAGTAACTACATTATCAGTAGTGTAGTGACTACATTATCAGTGGTGTAGTAACTACATTATCAGTGGCGTAGTAACTACATTATCAGTGGTGTAGTAACTACATTATCAGTGGTGTAGTGACTACATTATCAGTGACGTAGTAACTACATTATCAGTGGTGTAGTGACTACAATATCAGTGGTGTAGTAACTTCATTATCAGTGGTGTAGTAATTACATTATCAGTGGTGTAGTAACTTCATTATCAGTGGTGTAGTAACTACATTATCAGTGACGTAGTAACTACATTATCAGTGGTGTAGTAACTTCATTATCAGTGGTGTAGTAACTACATTATCAGTGACGTAGTAACTACATTATCAGTGGTGTAGTGACTACAATATCAGTGGTATAGTAACTACATTATCAGTGGTGTAGTAACTTCATTATCAGTGGTGTAGTAACTACATTATCAGTGGTGTAGTGACTACATTATCAGTGGTGTAGTAACTAGATTATCAGTGGTGTAGTAACTACATTATCAGTGGTGTAGTGACTACATTATCAGTGGCGTAGTAACTACATTAACAGTGGTGTACTAACTACATTATCAGTGGTGTAGTGACTATATTATCAGTGGTGTAGTGACTACATTATCAGTGGCGTAGTAACTACATTATCAGTGGTGTAGTAACTACATTATCAGTGGTGTAATAACTACATTATCAGTGGTGTAATAACTACATTATCAGTGGTGTAGTAACTACATTATCAGTGGCGTAGTAACTACATTATCAGTGGTGTAGTAACTACATTATCAGTGGTGTAGTAACTACATCATCAGTGGTGTAGTAACTACATTATCAGTGGTGTAGTAACTACATTATCAGTGGTGTAATAACTACATTATCAGTGGCGTAGTAACTACATTATCAGTGGTGTAGTAACTACATTATCAGTGGTGTAGTAACTACATCATCAGTGGCGTAGTAACTACATTATCAGTGGCGTAGTAACTACATTATCAGTGGTGTAGTGACTACATTATCAGTGGTGTAATAACTACATTATCAGTGGTGTAGTGACTACATTATCAGTGGTGTAGTAACTACGTTATCAGTGGTGTGGTAACTACATTATCAGTGGTGTAGTAACTACGTTATCAGTGGTGTGGTAACTACATTATCAGTGGTGTAGTGACTACATTATCAGTGGCGTAGTGACTACATTATCAGTGGTGTAGTAACTATACTATCAGTGGTGTAGTGACTACATTATCAGTGATGTAGTAACTCATTATCAGTGGTGTAGTAACTACTTTATCAGTGGTGTAGTAACTACATTATCAGCGGTGTAGTTACTACATTATCAGTGGTGTAGTAACTATACTATCAGTGGTGTAGTGACTATATTATCAGTGATGTAGTAACTCATTATCAGTGGTGTAGTAACTACTTTATCAGTGGTGTAGTAACTACATTATCAGTAGCGTAGTAACTACATTATCAGTGACGTAATAACTACATTATAAGTGGTGTAGTAACTACATTATTAGTGGTGTAGTAACTACATTATCAGTCGTGTAGTAACTACATTAACAGTGGTGTAATAACTACATAATCAGTGGTTTAGTAACGACATTATCAGTGGTGTAGTAACTACATTATCAGTGGCGTAGTAACTACATTATCAGTAGTGTAGTAACTACATTATCAGTGGTGTAGTCACTACATCATCAGTGGTGTAGTAACTACATTATCAGTGGCGTAGTAACTACATTATCAGTGGTGTAGTAACTACATTATCAGTAGCGTAGTAACTACATTATCAGTGGCGTAGTAACTACATTATCAGTGGTGTATTAAGTACATTATCAGTTGCGTAGTAACTACATTATCAGTGGTGTAGTAACTACATTATCAGTGGTGTAGTGACTACATTACCCGTGGTCTAGTCACTACATTATCAGTAGTGTAGTAACTACATTATCAGTGGTGTATTAAGTACATTATCAGTGGCGTAGTAACTACATTATCAGTGGTGTATTAAGTACATTATCAGTGGCGTAGTAACTACATTATCAGTGGTGTAGTAACTACATTATTAGTGGTGTAGTAACTACATTATCAGTGGCGTAGTAACTACATTATCAGTGGTGTAGTAACTACATTGCCAGTGGCGTAGTAACTACACTATATCAGTGGCGTAGTAACTACATTATCAGTGGTGTAGTAAGTACATTATTAGTGGCGTAGTGACTACATTATCAGTGGCGTAGTGACTACATTAACAGTGGTGTAGTAACTACATTATCAGTGGCGTAGTGACTACATTATCAGTGGTGTAGTAACTACATTATCAGTGGTGTAGTAACAACATTATCAGTGGTGTAGTAACTACATTATCAGTGGTGTAGTAACTACATTATCAGTGGTGTAGTAACTACATTATCAGTGTTGTAGTAACTACATTATCAGTGGTGTAGTAACTGCATCATCAGTGGTGTAGTAACTACATTATCAGTGGTGTAGTAACTACATTATCAGTGGTGTAGTAACTACATTATCAGTGGTGTAGTAACTACATTATCAGTGGTGTAGTAACTACATTATCAGTGGTGTAGTAACTACATTATCAGTGGTGTAGTAACTACATTATCAGTGGTGTAGTAACTACATAATCAGTGGTGTAATAACTACATTATCCGTGGTGTAGTAACTACATTATCAGTGGTGTAGTAACTACATTATCAGTGGTGTAGTGACTACATAATCAGTGGCGTAGTAACTACATTATCAGTGGCGTAGTAACTACATTATCAGTAGCGTAGTGACTACATTATCAGTGGTGTAGTAACTACATAATCAGTGGTGTAGTCACTACATTATCAGTGGTGTAGTAACTATTATCAGTGGTGT